GCTCAGAGAAGAGGAAAAACAGCTAATTTGAGCCAACCTTTCCATTTCCACCCCTTTTTTGTATTTGTGTTATCACAGGTGCTGTGTTATGGAACATATTGCAGGAAGCATGATTACTTTGTGGCATCTAACATTTCCTTTGGTATGCGTTCACTGGGCGTAAAAAAAAAAAGCATGTATTGTTGTTTTTTTGCATTGTCGTTTCGTGCCATCTTCTATTAAAAGAGACGTTTTTTTCCAGCCCGCCTTCAACAAGAACTACCTACCCCTCCCCTCCCCTCCCCTCTCTTCTCTCTCTCTCTCTCTCTCTCTCTCTCTCTCTCTCTCTCTCTCTCTCTCTCTGTCTGAGACCCGCAGTGAATGTGGTCCCTTCTGCTGTCACTTCCAACACACTTTACCCGGCTCCTCTATTTGAAGTTCTGTCATTGCCGGGCTTTGAACTGCCATTTGTGTTTTACCCTGAACAATGCTTGTCTCCAGAGCTTCGTCTGCTGTGAAATTGTCAAAGCCATAGGCCACATCAACACAGAGGGTTCTGTAGTAAGTTACAGACTGGACACATTCAGGCATGTGAAGCAGCATCCTTTATTACAAGCCCTGACGCTTTCTGTGACCTTTGGAACAAACGTGTGTGCTTATTAATTTGTTTGTGCTGCCGGTATGTATGCAGACATATGCAGTATTTTTTCTTTTATTGTTTTTTTGTTTAAGTTCATACTCTTGAAGCATCACCTGTTTTCAGTGTCACTAAACATCTCAATAATTCTGACCTAGTAGACCTTCTGTTTAGTTTATTTACTTCACATATAAACTTCACAACATTTCATATGTCAAAATGACTTCACAATATATATTTGATAGCTATAGTTTACTGTGTTTTTGTGGGTTAAGATTTTATAAAAAAAAAATAATGATCTGAAGATCTGTGTTCAGATATTTCAGAGATAATTATTAGACTGCGTGACATTGGCAGTGAGTGTATTTTTTGTGTGTGTTTTCCTCCTTATTTATGTGGAAGTGAAGTCATTGATTCTAAATTGGCAGATTTGTTTTATGTTGCCATGGTATTGGTTGCCAAGTGATTGTAATTGGACAGACCATCTAGATACTGCTTGCTGTCTTTTTGAGTAAGGGGCAGGGAAAATAAGATGTATTCTTCTCCCTGTTCCTTGAATTATAACCTTAAAATAGCGTGCACTATTTCAGCTAATAGTGTTAACACTGAAAACTGACCTTCATTTTGCTGCTTGACGTAGTATGAAATTATTTTCATTCTGAAATCGAGTATCTCACTTTTTTGATTATTATTATTCTTAAAATGTATTCAAGATGGCAGCATGCACAAACGCAGCAGCTTTGCTCCCTACATTCTCAAACCGTTTCTATGCCGGTGTCATCAGAGAGCTGAGCTCAAGGCTCATTTTAACAAAAAGGAATGACTTCATATATTGATCTTTGGACGGTGCAATACTGACTTTATTTTATGAGTGTATTTTAATGTGCTGTATGATGCTGCTTTTATATTTTATGCATGAATCACTCAAGAGAAGCGGCTCATTTCTTGTCCAGCTGTGCATTGACATTAAAAACATTCTGACTCTTAATGACAATACCAACAGTTTTGTCATTTTCCCACCAGTCAGCTTACTATTTTGTGTTCTCTGCTTTTACAAATCTGAACTTTTCTTTTCTTATTCTTCCATTGCAGGCATCGTTTCCTTTTCATTTATTTTCTTTGGACATGAACATTAATTTTCTGGCTTTTGAAACTTACTCTGTTTGAGTTATTCATCAAAGTCAACCTCAAGTCTGCATTAATATTTAAAATTTGATTAATTATTGTCATTTTTCTTAATGTAGATTTGTTAAATCAATCCGTGACTAACTTGCATGATTATGCACCCGTAGTTTAAAGCTAGCAAACATTTATGCAGACTTTCTGTTTCATGTCATAATCACACTTCTCAAGCCAACGGCCTTCTTATTAATTTTCATACAACACGCAACTCGTGTCGGCCTATAATGGATTTTTTTTTTTTTAAATGATCAACAAGAAGTATTAGACTGTACATGTTTTACAGCACTCATTCAAATCTGTTCTACATCTCATGGATCAAGATGATGTGTTTTTATGTGAAAGGGTTGATTTAAAGAAACAAAACCCCAAAGATGTATCACCAACTTTGCAGTTCCTCAGTAACAGCTTCATGTAAAACATTTCTGGTACACTCACAATGTATACCTGCACAGCAACACATGGCAGACACACAACATTTGCACGCTGAAAATAGTGACGCTCTAAGAAGCTACACCGCCAAATATTCCCCCCCAGGATTTGTTGGAGACTAACACAGAGTTAGGACAGTGAATGTCGGACTTAGTTCAGCCAGGTGGCCAGCTCCAAACTTATGCCAGTGTTGTTCTTTGTCTGCTGGATGTGTAAATGAGCAACTGTAAATAAGCTATTGTTTGCTGGCACATTAGCCATTACAACTTCATTATCCCAGAATGTCACTGATATTAGCTCGTGTGCTTAGGGTATAAAAAACAAAATCAATGAATGTAGCTGCAAGTTATCCAAGGGTTTTTCCCTCGTTATTGACTTTTCTTACATTATAATGTTGCACCTTTGATGTGACTATTGTTCAATTTGTAGATGCTGGGTTTTCTGTGGAAATGAAGCAGCACCTGCATCCATGCCCAAAATGTGTTTTTTGTTCATACTTTTAGGTTATAGCTCAGGGTCTGCTGCTCTGATGCTGTCGTACATCAGGGTCATTCCCTGCATGAAGCATCCACCCATAGGGTCTTCAGCTGGCTGTAGCTGTGCTTGTTAGCTTAACAACAACAGCAGGTCTAGCAGAAAGTAATGACTAGGACCTCCATCAGTCTGCAGTTAATAAAGAACAAACCTGTGCAGGAGTCCACTTGTTAGAAGAGACCCCCAGGGGGACGATTTTTTTTTTTTTGGTCGCTGCAGTGATGGCACAGTGCCTGCCTCTGGGTGGGTGGGCTCACTGGTGAGAATTTTGCAGCTTGAAGTGCTACCAAATATGCAGTGTCTGCTTTGTCTCCCCCTGAGCAGCGAGCAAACAGGCTGTCTGCTGTACCTGCACTGGCTCTGCCTCTTGGCTACAGAGGTTTCTAGGAATTGTAAGAGCGCCTTGGCTGAGTATTTTATTTTGTGTAATGCGAGGAATACTGTATCTTAAAAGTGCTTTGATCCTGAAATATGTTGTGTTGATGATAAGGGAGAGAGTTAATTGAATCCCTTAATATTTTTTGCCAATCTCTGCTGGCACTCCCTCAAAGATCCGTGCTGCACACCTCATTTGAACTGTGAAACTTTATCATTCATGCACAGTGCTCAGTGTTTACAAGTGAGGATGAAACGAGGGCACCCCGAGCTCAGAGACGAGGTCCAAATGTTTCAATTTTACCGCAACACAAGCAATTAGCCAAGCGCTTATTAGTGTGCGTGCTCCCTGATTTCTCTCTCTCTCTATCCCTCTTTATCCGTGGATCTCCCTCCTCCCTCATGCCAGCGGGAGATGAATTTGTCGGTGTTGTCCTTGGAATCCGTTCTTGTAAACACCATAGGCGGTGAGCAGTGTTTACCGGTGTGCATGGCGAGCAAACAGGCCGCTCTGTCTCTTGCACAGTGCCTCCCGTGGGGCCAAACTCACCTTGTTACCCTTTTAATTAGTAAGAGCAGTTAATAGTGCCGGCCGCTTCTGCAGCCTCAGCACTCTGCTCCGACTTCAAGAATCCCTCCAATCGATCGTAAAGAGTCTGACTGAGACAGGGGGGAGGAGGGGATAGGAGGGGATGGGGGGGGGGGGTCCTGTTGTGGGGAGAAGCTCAGATACGTTCATGGTAGTTTTTGGAGAGAAATCCAACAACATACTATTTTCTCGAAGGAACCTACACGGCGGGTGTATCAATAACGAGTCTTTCTCTTTTTTTCTTGTACAATTGCAGGTATAACAAGGTCTCTGGGACCCGTATGCACATTCTTCTCAGCGTCTCTCCTCTCTCACATTTCCTCTCTCTTGAAAATGAATGTAATCAAAAAGCTAAGGCACATTCTATTGTGCCCTTATAAGCTTTTATCCCTCCCAAGCGCTCGCCCCATGCTCATTTCTTTTCTTGTTTTGATTTAAAGATGCAGTGGAAGTACTTAGCATTTAGATGACATGCTGCTGGAAAGGTGTGATAGATCAGCGCCTCTTCAGAGGACTGAATTTCTTCAACGGCGTCGGGGGCCGGTCCGACGCCGGACGGACAGATCGCGGGACGACAGGCCAGGCGGGCAGAGGAATACCAAGTCTGCCTCTGCTGCAGATAGCCTGGCACAGCTAAAGGGGAGCAGTGGCTGCTGGGAATGCCAATGCCTTGCCCAGACAGGCGTCTCGCTTTGGCTGCTCTGATTGGCTAAACAGACCATTAGCTTCCTGATTATGATTAGCCGAGTCATTATCTACACAAAAGTGGCTCATTCACCAATATTAAGAAGGCAAGGGAGCTGTTTTCTTCCCCCGGTCAAGAGGGAAAACAGCGTGTTTTCATGTGTTCTTCTGTTGATGAATGTCGGAGACAAGAAGTTGTTATTCACAGAGAAACAAAGTGTAACAATGTTTATCACTCCGCCCTACAGCTAGTGTAATAAAATGTTCTATCTGTGCGATGCCACTGATGGAAGAAAGGAAAGGTCTCTCAGTCGTTAACATGGATGATGAGGTGCCCATTACTCGCTCGTATTTTCTGGTCCAGAAGAGAAGCGGTCCTCAGAGGTCATAAAAACTGGGAGAGAACAAAATAACCTTCAGCTTCCATCGTCCCACCTTAGATATAATTGGAAGACATGCCATCTGTGCTTTTTAAATGGACATATGCTGCTCTGCGTCCGAGGCCAATATGCTGAGAGAAAGTTGAACAAACCGTTAGTGAAGGCTGGCCCTCTGTTCCTGCCATGCTGACCTTCTACTTTTCTGTTTCAGCCTTTGCCCAAGGAGCCGTCGTAGGATGCAGAGGAAACAGCAAGTATGTAAGTTTGTATTATGTATCTTTTTTTAAACTTTGAATACAGGTAGTACATTCTGCTGCCGTTATTCACCAAGCCATGCCTCTATTCAAAGCTGTATTAAAGAGGAACACCTGCATTTTAAACCTGCCCCTAACCCCCCTTTTATTTTATTTCTTACATAAAGGGTCTTATAGACTTATAGGTCTTTATTTGTATAGCGCCAATTCATAACAAATGTTATTTCAAGACACTTTACACAAGGATGTACAAGAACTTACTCTGTGTTATATTATCTACAAAGACCCACCATTAATTCATCATTTATCATTTATTCATCACATTTAGCAGAGTTACTACAAAAAAACTTCCTTTAAGAGGCAGATACCTGGAGCAAAACCAGACTCATGTTTAACAGCCATCTGCCCCAACACACGCCTGACAACATTACAGAGAGCATCCCAAGAAGGATAGATCTTTCTGTGAGTTCTGTGAGAAATTAATTTGACGAGCTTAATCCTGAGACCGAGTCAGTGGCAAGAATCAGACACTTCTTTGGGTCTTACTTTCACTGGACAAAGTTGCCCCAAAGCATTACATCACAGTCATTTCAGTCTGCTACTGTTGCTGCAGGCTGAAATCATCAAAAATGTATGAACCTACAAGTCATAAAGACCCAGCATTGTATAACAAAGGGACTCAGTTTTCAAGAAAATACTCAAAATCCCCCTTTAAGGTTCAGTGTTGCTGAGACCTGGAATGAATCAGTCATTAGTATCTATTCATCATGCTCCTTCCAGTCCTGCTCACTGCTCTCTCTGCTGAGCTTAAATAAAGATTTTCCAGGTCTTGGAGAAGACACAATGGAATTCCCCATTTCTCAGATTGCAGTCACTTTGATGTATCTGAGAGGAGGAAAAAAAAAAGTAGGGGGAATCAAAGGGGTTATTGGAAGTTTGAAATGCAAAAGGCGGTGGAACTAGAGAGCACCATTGTTGTTACATCAAAGAGTGATGCTACTTCAAGTGCCCATGTTTCTTTTTAGGACGGAGGTAGATCGTGGATATGAACTGGGGAATGTTCTTGAAAAAAAAACAAAAAGAGAAAGTGACATTGTGAAAATCATGTGGGGCCACACAGAGTCCTCAGATTCCTGAAATACTCTCCTCACAGTCCTCCTAATCAACATTCACTTTACAAAAGTTGGTGGTAAACCACGACCAGGAGACTCTGCTGCAGGTTAACTTCACTTCCTCAAACACTTTTGTTCTCCTGAAACCAGTTTTTTTTTCCTAAAGATCAAACTGAATTCCTCTCCGTAGAGCATCGACTGAGTTTCTATGAAGCTTTTTACAACCTGCACAACCACAGGCATTTGGAATCTGCATGCTCCATGTCTCCTAGCCAATATTCTGAGATTGATTTTCCCTCTTCCACCGAGAAAACAAAATGAATCACGCGCAATTACCAAGGACAGAGAGAAAAGGGGGGGAATTGGGGGCGTCATAAATATTTATTTGCATGCCCTGAGAATTTGTGCAATTCTTTGTGGAATTGCAGAGTCATATTTAAGTGTCTAAATGATTTATACGGGTGTCACATTTGTCCACTGTCACCCTGGATCATTTATGAATTAACATTTATGGATTTATCCATATAACATATTCATGGCAGAGTTCTATTATCATTCAAATGGATTTTGTGATCAAATGATTGGCTAAATGAAGTCATTAACTGCAGAGTTTCACTGGAGGTGAAATGTATTCCACATGGAAAAGATAAAATGATCACCTTCACGTGAGGGGCCTGTTCCTCTACAGCGTCCTGCATGGAGTTGTTTGTTCAAAGCGTGAAATTTGATGAAAAAGCGAGGGGATAGAAGACATGACTTTCTGAAAATGTCTGATTTTAAAAATCAGTTGAGGAAAAGCTCATCATTATTTAGACCTTTGTCATAACAATGCCTGCAGCACAGGATTAAAAAAGGTGTTTTAACACTTGGATTTAAAGATCTATTTATTTTTTCAAGACCAATGACCAGCGTGAGCTCTACGGGATTCTCACCACCTTCTCACAGTGAAGCCCCCTCATGGCATTTCTCATTAGTCCCATCATTTATTAGATAAAGTTAATTACACAAGTGATGAAATGTAAAAAAAAAAAAGTCTGTTGCCTGTTTTTTTTTTTTTTTTTTTAATTTAATATCCAATATTGCAGCAGCGTAGAATGACAAGACATTAATTTGGGGCTCTCATTTAATCCCTAATTAGCTCACATGCTGAATGTAAAGTGTTTTGCGGGAGCTGACACGGATGAAAATTGAAAATACATGGAGGGGGGCTGCTGGTCTAAATATTACTCTGCGTGTTAAGCTTTTTTTAATTTCTGGCCCGGCACTGTGAGGGGAAAAGAGAGCCGCATCTAGAAGAGACTAAAACAGAGTTATTTAGAGTTCGTGGGTTTATGAAAGTGTTTCATTTTTTTAAATTGAAAAAACAAACAAACGGAAGGTGCTATTTGGATTCAACCGTGATATGACAACACAGGTGCTCCTGTTGAATAGGTGAAATTAGAATTTACTAAATTCCATCTTCTCTAATGATGTAAAAACATTGGAAAGCTTTTTCAGTAGTGGCTAAATTATTTATTTTTGTGTGTGCTTTAGAAATCATAATGAAGATGTTTTTATATATTTATACCTTTTCTTTCAAGCAGGCCTCTTCATCCTCTTTGTGCAGTTTAGTAGCCTTTATGTTATCTCTAAGAAAGCACTTACATATTAAGAAATCAATCAAACCAAAGCAAACCACACAACCACACAAACAGAAAACACAAATAAGATTGAACCAAATCCTGGAAACACCACCAAATGTAGACAATACAACCAAATGTAGGCATCAGGAAGAAATACTAACAATACCTGAAAATACACCAAACAACCAAGCCAAACATATACATGCATGACCACTAACTATTTTATTTTTCATTGAATTTATTTGCATCAGGACTGTTCATATTAATCAAAATATGAGCAAAATGTGTCAGTGTTAATATGCCAGAATTAGCAGGAAAGCTTAATTTCATCTGTGGTTGGGTATCTGGTTTTTGGTTATCCACACCTGTTTCGATACCACGGTGACAAAAATTGACATCAGGACACCTAATAATGGGTGCTTATTTATTTTTTATTAAAATGTTTTATTAAGGTCTTTTTGGGTTTGTCTGTATAAAGTTGCATTGCAGGCACTTTGCTTTAGTTGTTGTTTTGGTGTTTGGTTGTGTGTCTGGTGTTTCTGACAGGTTGTCAATGTTTGGTTGTGTTAAAAAAAATACAGAGAGCAAAAGATTGAGCTTTGTTGTCTTGGCTACTTTACTTTATCTGAACTTAAAATGGTCTTTCTGAAGTCTTACCACAGCATCCCAACTAAGACAAACATTTAGTGCTTATGCTCATTTTGTACATGTGAAATAATAACCAGTACAGTTACATGAAAAAAATGCTGTCTATTGATTTTTCCTCTTTCCATGTTCTTTTTTTCTTCCATTCCTCTGCAGGTTCATTGACATCAGTGCTACAAAAGAAACGGAGGCCCATCACTACAACAGAACATTGTGTCCATACAACAACAAAAACGAGGCTCCCAGAACTTGACAACAGCCTTGACCTTCAGTAAAATAAAAAAATAAAAAAAACAACCCCAGAGCTTTTCCAATCACTACAGCGAAAGACTCTCTGCAGACACTTCTAAGAACTCTGAGAAGTCTCAAGTGAGCAGCATGGTACACCATCGGCATCAAATCTTCACCGCAGCCAAATTCACAGACTCATCATAGACAGAAAAATCTCTCTGAGGAACAGTCATTACCAGGCCAGTGGAATAATCATTCAAGTACGTAACCTCTTTTTTTTTGTCCACGTTATCTAACGTTAGGTCGGCAAGGGTCGTCTCCTTGAAGATTTTTACCTTCGTGGCTTGATTTAGACTTGTCAAAAGGTCTTTCAAAAGTCAGCCCCTTCATCTTCTTTACTACCCCCCGCTATGAAGCCTTCCGGGGTTTTATTCCAGCCAAGTTTCTTTAATGACAGCCCGCTGCTAAAGAGTCGTGACTTGACTGAGGTTGAGCCAGGCCATACCGTCCATTGGATTCTAGCCTTTCACACCTTTTTCTCATTCGGCTGAGTGAAACTTTACAAGGCCTCCAAGATCTCTGCATACACACACACACACACACACACACACACACACACACACACACACACACACACACACACACACACACACAGAACACACACACACACACAGAAACACACACACACACACACACACACACACACACACACACACACACACACACACACACACACACACACACACACACACACACACACACACACACACACACACACAAAGGAAGGACATTGTGAAAACGCATGAAAGTCTTTTGAATGCCACTGAAGAGGCGACAGAGAAGATGTGACTGTCTTTCCTGAATGAATTAAGGATCAAAAAGGGGAAATGTGGACATTTTTTGGGGCGACTTAGCTTATAACTTATGTTTTGTATGTGGTGCCAACATAGACTAGAAGAGTAGTTTTTGTCAATGAACCTCACACATCTTGTACACACATCACCAGGCGCTTTTAGCAGATGTGGACCCTGGTTCATTTTAAAATGATCTATACTTTGTGTGGGTGTATGTTTATGCTAGTGTGCCGGTGCATAAGTGTGTGAGCGCATGTTTGCATCTGTCCACGTGTTCTGGGGACGTGTTTGTATGCTTGTGTGCCTGTGTGTGGGAGCGTGTGCACATCCTGAGATACACTGTGAAATAAGTCATGTCCAATGCATTATTCATACTCTTGTATAGTTTTGGGACACGCCGAGACCAGAGCTCACCATCTGGCAAAAGAAGCATTTGTGATTTTACAGATGTTGGATCTCATTTAAAACCTTCACGGATGAATCCTGGGTTTGCCTTCTCTTCTCTTTCTTGTATTTTCTTTAGTACATAGAGATATTTATATCGGGGGGAGAAATATTATTGAAACTGGGGACAGATCTACAGTATGTCACATAAGTTCAATTCTGTAATTAAAATAACTAATGTGTGATTAAATGTATTCAGAATACTCGTCTAAATTGACTCTATTTTGATATGAAATGTTTTGGCCAGATGGAAGTGCTATTTGCTGATTTCAGATGCTTGATATATTTGAAATTGTGTACATATATATACATATATATATATTCAATTAATGTATTTTATGTTCCGTGGGTCTTATTCCAAGAGAAGATAAAGTAAAGGAGGGGCACAATTGGTATTCTTCTGAGAGAAGTATGAGATGTGGACACAATAACAAGAACACCAGTAAGATATGTGAAAAACAAGAAACACACAACACACAGGCCGCAGCGAAATGATGAATCCTCGTCTCGCTAATGCCGCATCAAAAGAATCATTTTCACAGAGGAATTGTTTGTTGCTTGCTGGTTGCTGCATTATAGTGTGCAGGTGTTCCTGTTAATGTGTCTACAACCTGTTTCTTTTTTCATTTCTTTGTATTGAAAATCCTGTACATCTCCATCTTAATGTATGCATTTGAGGATATAAAGAGAGCGTCCGCTCCCTGGAGCTGTGGAGTGTGTATTCGGCGTGTGTGTGTGTGACTGTTTTCCAGGTCAACAGTGGCCCGTGTAGTGAGGAAATACCAATTTCCTGCTGATCTCATATCTTTTGATTTCATGCTACTTTTATTTATCGCTCCTTTGGTTCGCACTCACCATAAATAAACTGTCTGTTTGGTTTGAGTCACTGTCAGAGCAGGAGCCGCTGCTACAACAGATCTACACTGTGGGTCAAATCTCAATAAGAACAGGAAAGATATATATCATGACCTCGTCCTCTTACTGTAAATTGGTCTACAAACTGTCAAAATGTGATGGAAGGTACCGTCACATATCATCTAAATAAGTTCAGAGAGTTCACTGCAGTGAGCCGCTGACTCTGGAGGAGAGAGCAACCAAAGCCCCAGGCTGTGTCCTTAAATTGTCAGGACTATAAATGCCTTTTGTGGTCCTCAAATGTCTTTTTTATAAATAATTTAAACTTTTATTTCAAACTGTCCTCGTTTTGAAAGAGGCTTTGGTTGGAAACCTCAAAACTACAGGCCAATTATTTCCCCAAACATGACACAGCAACGGTACAAGGCAAACTGGGACAAAAAAAAAGAGAGAACATTTTCTTGTGAAGACTAAAAATGAAACCCGGTAACTCTTTCTGTGAAGCTCTTGAATCTGCTGTGTTATAATGTTACGACTGCTAATGTGTCATATAAGCAGCATATTACTTTAAAAATGTTGATTAAAGCTCCTGTATGGAGTTTTTAGCTTGTTACGAGACTGACTGAAATGAATACTGATGCATCTTTATCACCTCCAAAAACAAAACATACTATGAGCTAGACTGATTTGTTTCTTTATTATCATCACTGGTGTAGGGTAGGTTCCAGACGAGGAGATTAACAGCAGGCTTTTCCACAGAAAAGATGTGTGATAAATGTGAGTGTTTAAAGAAAGCAGAATGAGGATTTTTGTGTGTTAAAAACGCTACACAAAGAGAGAGAAGGTGCGACTTTGTCCACAGGGGGTGCCATACCTACACAAACTAGAAGTTCCTCACAGGAGCTTTAATGAATAAAAAGTATTGAGAGCAGTATCACATTTTTATGTATCATAACTGCATGTGCATCACATATATTCCCTCTTACACCATTGCCACACTGTTCTGAAACTAAAATATTCAATAATGTTGAAAATGAGCATATTGAATGAATCAAATCTAATTTTTCAAAATCAAATCAGATTTTTTTACTCAAAAATCCGCCTGGAAGTAAGCTTTTATTTTATTAAACTTTTTTTCAATTTGGACTTTAAAGGTGACCTATTCTGCTGATTCCCATTTCAAACTCACATATAGTGTTACAATGCTGGATGACCAAACTTAACATGAGTTTCAGATCAAAGTATTTTGGAATAATCCTAGGATTCATCTGCAGATGGCGCTAAACGACTTCTTCTGAAAATCATGCGCTAGTTCTCCGATATGAAACAGAATTTCAAAAAAGGACTTCAAGTCTCTACATAAGCCGTTAGAAACCTCTTACATAGGCTCTGTTGTCCCAGCACTGGAGAGCAGCCCTCCCCTGGCAGGAAGGCTTCCTGAGAGCTGGCCAATCAGAAGAAAGTGGACATGTGGGGAGGGGGGCCTTAAAGAGACAGCAGCTATAACAAACCGTTTCAGGCGGTGGCTAAAATTAGGGCTTTTACAGACACTAGTATGAGATAAATAAATAAATAAAATAAAATAATTTTTGCTTTAAATCATGCAAAGCTACTCTAAAAGTTTCACAGACTGGCGACATGAAGGCTGGACATTAGGAGAATATTGGATCTTTAAGTAAGAGGCTTTTTTTCCATTTCCTTGCAAACCCTTAATTTAACCATCAGGAAATAAGATGCCAGTACATTAAACAAGTTACCATGGTTTCCATAACCATTATTGACGGATCAAAATCATGTGCTCTCTTTTCAGGATAACTGAAGGTGATATTATTTATAAGAAGGTGAAAATGCAGCACCATAGCATACAGTATCATCAAGAATATTACGCATGTGCTCCAGTTGGCTGTGGAAACTGGCCTTTGTGTTTGCTGCCGTGCCAGCATTCCCACTCAACTCCCACTCAGCTCGAGATGTTCTTTCAATGAGGCCCCGCTGCTGCCTGCCTCCATTTCCAATGTCTGTCTCGCTGTCTAAGGGTGTTGAACGTGGGCTGCTGTCAGGATCAACAAATGGTATGAGGGTGGTATCATGCTCCCTGCCATCCACGATACACAACACTATCTGATATAAAAAGCTGTTACCACGCTCGGCTCTCTCTAATGTTCTTTAGATCTTGTGTCACCAATGCAAATAAGGTGATTTAGATGAACAGCTATGACACCCAATTAATGTGATGTTTCTTATAATACCTTATGACCTTATAAATCATAAAGGCTTGTTTTGAATTATACATGTTAATGTGCTTATTAGGGATGTAAAGATTATTCGTAAAATCGAGATAAATCGATTCAAAGGTGTCAAGGTTTACATCGGTACTCTGAAAAATGAATTAGAATAATATGGTGAGCGTCAGCAGCTGTAGAGCAAGATTTAGAAATTGAGGACGCACCACCGTCTTTTAAATCGGAGGTGTGGAAGCGTTTTGGCTTCCCCGAGACAGAAAATGAAAGAGGTGAGAAGATAACAGACGAGACAAAAACTGTGTGCAAATATTACAAGAAGACAGAGAACTACACAAATAGCACAACCAACATGATGCAGCATTTAATCAACACCACAACGAGAAGCTCCAATCACCTCTGCTTGTTGTGAGGAGAAAAACATTAAAAGGCCAAACCACACTGACAGGCGGGTTAGCAGCTCATAAAGGAATCTTTTTCAGTCATCATTTGTCTCATTTTGTGAAATAAATCTTGAGAGAATCGTATCATGAGTTCAGTGAATCGTTACATCCCTAGTGCTTATGCATATCAGTATGAGACATCATAAAAAGGGGCTTCATAAAAAATTTGAACTGGAATCACCTCCCAACACAGATAATGATCAGAGGACTAAACCGGAAAATATGATTATGATCACAGCTTAGCACTTCAATTGAGATATGCCAAGTAATTGAAGAATACAAGCGTTTTTGATTATATTAGAGAAGTGGATGATATGCAAAAACAACTCATGAGGAGGGGCTGAAAGTCAATGCTCCTTGAAGAGAAATTCATATTTCAGACACAAAACGTCTTGTGTTTTATAAAGTAGCTCCACTTGTGTCAGTGTCAATCCCTGATAGTAACAAACCAACACAACAACACCTGACAGTCGATCTGTTTTGGTCTTACAGGCTGTTTTCAAAAAGTAATTGTGTCCGCACTTGTGTGATATCTTCCCGATCTTCAATAAAAGCTTCAGGTGCAGGATGGACAAATGTTTCAGCACAGTAGGCCTTCAACATTATATCTCAGTTTTGCTCTTGAGCTCTCCACATCCGCAATAGATCCCCGGCCGAGCCTAATGAGACACAAACACACCCCTGAGGCTCCGGCTGACTTGCTAAACACTGCGTTGTTGAACAGCACCGCAGTGTAGCAAATTAGCATTTATGCCCACATAAAAATCCATTTACTGATCCATTAGCTTAGCATAGTGCTAATGAGTTGCT